GTCTACCTTATGCATTCAAAACGGGGCAGGGCTCGAATGATAACAGTCAAATTACATGAAGGTGGTAGGAGAGAAAACGTTTGCATAGGTCATCAGTTTGGTCCTATCTATCTCCTTATTGGCACGGTTGCTCCAGAGTCTGAGCGTCTGGGATATTTCATTGAGGATTCTTCTTGTGGTCCAAATCTCATTACGGAAAAAGTGTGTTATATATAGCTTGCGTATGATTATTGCTCCTCACCGATTGGGAAGGGAAACAAGATGGGAGGCATAAATCCTACTACTTGGAAAGACTACCGATGTGCACATTCTATCATGGTACAGATAACTAATAGCTGTCATGTGCATACACACTGGCACTTGCCTGCATTGCACAAGGTCACGCCTCCAGGGACAGCTTCTCGTAGTTCAGGCATCTGCACAGCGCCCCCCACTTCCCGGACATCAGCATGGGGTGTGGCTGCATTGCACAAGGATACATCATTAAATAGAGCAATTGCTAATTTTTGGTTGTCTGACAGCTTCACTTGATGTTGCAAACTAGTACTAAACTAAGGCTGAGCTTACTCTCTTTTATGTTGTGCAACTACTAGTCTGTAGCTAGGTTATATATGAAGTGACCTTCAGATGAGAAATGGTTGTCTGACCTTCGACGACGAAAGAGGGGGTCGGAGCTTGGGCAGCCGCTGCAACAACAGGTCCTTGCACACCTCCAGGGTCAGCTTCTTGTAGTTTAGGCACCAGCACATCATCCCCTGCTCCCTGGGCATCAGCGCAGACGTGGCGTGTGCCTACATGCACAAGGTACACCATTAAGTGGAGCTATTGCTGTTATTTGGTTGTCTGAAATTTTCACTTCAATGCTGCACACTACTAAAGCTGAACTTACTCTCTTTTATGGCGCACAACTATTAGTCTATAGCTAGGTTATATATGAAGTGGCCTTCAGATGAGAATGGTTAAATGTTGATTGAAAAGCTTAGTAATGTGATTGAGAATTAAGAAAGTTACAGGCAACTTATGAAGAGAGAACACGATATCAAATCCAGCAATCAAGTACTCACAAAATTCAACCAAGTTCTGTAAACATTTCTTGTTAATGATATTAGCACAGTCAAGCTCAATCATGCTGCAACCAGGGCAATTTTGTAGTGATCATCAATTTGTGTGTTTCCATGCTTCAAGTGAAGGGTGTAGATGAGAGGGAAATTAAAAAGAGGAGCACATACAGAAAGGAGAGGAAGATGATTAAAGGAGGGAAAAAAATGCACATAGAAAGTACCAATGACAATCCGGAAGAAGAGTCCTAGGTTCCATTGCAATAGTACTAATTTCAGTTTTTTG